CCCTCACTGCAGAGAATAAAGTAAACTTGGGCTACTATTAAGACTAAAAAATCTCTGCAGGCTGATAAATGCTCTGTCCACTCCTACAGCTGTGCCCTGGCTTCCAAGTCTTCTGTGTGCTGGGGCTTTGGTGGACATTTTCCTGTAGTGCCAGTGCATGCCCTGAGGACTCAGGGAAGCTTTTTCACATGGAAGGGTGTCAGGTGGGCAGTGTTCTAGCAACTAGCTAGATAGGGACATGATTTTGCCCGAAAGATTTGGACAGACTCAGTTATAATAATTCTAGATGTTGAGTGTGATCTCAGCCATTTTTCACAAATTGGCCTTGTGAGCATGCTACTTGCTTGACTCTCAAGGACCTTTTTGTCTGGAACATAGGAAGCGTTCCACTTGATCACTGGAAGTGAAGAGCTGCTGCCTTAGCTTGCTCTCAGGTTAGGGTGGTTGCTGTGGGCAAAGGTCCATTCCAGTAACATGAGGCAATGCCTGGTGCAGGGCATGGCAAGTCTCAGCTTCCTGAGTTTCTTTACCATTCAAGAGATCACATTTGTCAGAAAAATCTTTAAACTAGTAATGCCTTCTTGTTTTCTATTTGTTCCTTGAAAAGCTCCCTACAGAGAAACCCCCATCTTTCTCCTCATTATGAAATGGTGCCTTCTGGGCATCCCACATAGGCATTACTGGTAACAGCTACACTTCCCCATCCCTTTGGCTTAGTCTGGTAATTGGATTCATTTAATCTTCTTTTGTCGTCATTCCTTTTTACTGAATCCCAGTTCTCGTTGGAACAGATTTGAAAGATAGGCAGGGATCAGAGGCTGCCAGCAGGTATAGAATACACTGGGTGAAGGAACCAGAAGATGATGTACCTTGTAAGGAGAAGCTAGAAACAAAAAATGAGGGAAAAAAAACAGAAAATTGTCTTTCTTCCTTGCCAGACCTCAGAAGAGTGGAGACAACATATATCCCAATGGAGTTGGAGTCCAGAGAGAGAGAGAGAAGGAACAAAAACAGATCAATATATTCAGAAGTGACCAAAATCCCAGAGCTCCAGATCCATCCTGAAAGTGCTAAGAGTAAGGAAGGGCCATCAGCTCTGTCAAGACACATGTGTCTGTAGCTCTCTCTTAGCACTCATTATGAGGTTTGATTAATCGATTTGCTGGAACTGTTCCACACTTCAGAAGAGCTAAAATTCTATTTTCTGAGATGCAGTTAATTGAGGCTCTCAGTTACCTGAAGGATGACTATCTCCTCAGACTTATGACTTCAGTGCATAAGTACTGCTGAGACTTTGCTGCATAAATCTTTAAACACTAATGAACTAATGTCCTGGGGCCAAATCCAGCACTAGTGTTCTGTAAATCTTTACTCCTAATGATCTGTGTGAGATTTATACAAAAACATTGAAGATAGATACAGTTGCAGCACGTTGATGTTGTCCCTGGTTGCACAGGCATTCTGATTTGGAGCTTACTCAGAGGGACAGAAAAAAATGAGAGGAAGAGATATGCATTTAAAAAGGTATTGCCCCTAAAATGTGCGTTGCTTTTTATCAACGTATTCTTGTTGACCTACTCTTTAGGTAAAGAGTACTCTTCATTAAAGCAAAAAGGCTTTGTTTGATTCTCCCAGCCTTAATGAATAGCATAGTATCTTCAAAGATGTCCCAGTGAAAATCATTGATAAATTCATTAAGAACAGTTACTTTTATGTAAATACCACTTGGTAAGAAGGAGCATATCATAAGCAGAAGGGTTTATAATAAGGGAGTGGCAGGTGCCACTGTTTCAGAGTTGTCCACTCACAGTTGTCTCATTTGGAGAAAGGGGGAAAAGATGGGCAACTGGAAGGGAGGATGGAAGTCTTCCTCTCGCACAAAGGGTCTTGCATTGATATTTACATCCTTTCTGCTTATGTGGCCTCATGCATCAGGTTTATCTGCATCTTGCTCACCCTAAGGAATGATGCATATCCCATTTGGAGTTGATATACTGAAGTGTGGAAATATCATCTTAGTGCTGTCACAATATTCTTTTCTTACAGCCCTAAACCAGATTTCTGCCCTAATCTTCTCAACCAGGTCCCTGTAGAGAATCACAGCCCTTCACAGTCTTCCCCTGCTTGATCTGTCCTTGTAGGCAGAAGAGCTCTTGGCCTCTATGTTACCTGCACAGGCAGCATGTTCCTCTAAGGCATGTTCCTATAAGGTTTCCATAGACTTCCCATTTTTCTTGTAATTCTATCATCAAGTTGGAAAAGAAGGTCCTACTCGAGAAAAACACAGTGCTTCTGTAATGTTTTTGCTCAGACTTTATTAATAACATTGCATTTTGAGTGAACCATTTCTCTAGCTGCTTGAAATATAATTTTCTGGTGGAGGATACTTCCATCATGTTGAGCTGCTGTCAATGTGCAATCTCCATGACTTGCTCTGCTGAGACAATTGCATAGATGGCAGCTGTGTTTCTTGTTTTCTGGAACCTGCTGCTCATCCCACTAGAGCTACCTCGCTGATGAATGCCATTTGTTTTTCTCACGGGACTGAACAACTATCATGTACTCAGAGTTTTTTAATTTGTATTACTGTCACTCCATTAAAAGTCTTGTATCACCAAGATCAATTATCTATTTCAAGCTTTTCATAAATTTGCATCAGTTACGGTCTTGGCCCTCTGTCTGGATGCTTCTGCCACTAACAGCCTGCAATTACTTTGAACATGGTTCCTTGGGCATTAACTGCTATCCAGTAAGACAGCACTGTTTTCCCTCATTTCCCTTTTAAGACTGTCTTTCTCTGTATAATCTGCCAAGCATGAGCCACTTTGGTATGGCTGGGAGACAAATTACAAATTACTTTTGTAATTGCTCAAGCAACTTGTCACCATGACGCTGTGCAATCCGCAACTTGTACAAGGATGTAGCTTCTTGTATTCACTCTTGGCATTGTCCATTCTGTTGCATTTTTTAACGTGTACTTTGGTGTTACCTTGAATTGAATGTCGTACAGGAGGAGCTGCATTGACTGAAGGACTTATTGCCTAGCACAATGGAACCAAATTACATTTGGGCTGCCCCAGTTCAGCATCTGCCCTGTCTACAGGTGCTTTTCATCAGCAGGCAGTCTGTGAGGATTGTCCTTCAAGGACATCAAGAGCAAGAAGTTCTCATCAAGCTTGTGCTGACTTGGCACCTGACAGTTGAAGGGAAGTGGTGAGACACTTTGACGCTTTACTTCTTGCAGTTACAATGAAAGGCTTGGAATTCATAGTACATCAGTGGTAGTTATAAATGGTTTTGTTTGTACTGTAGAAATTGTCTCAGTCCTGGTTTCAGTTCAGCTATTAACCAAAAATTTCAGTGTCAAGAATTGATACTTCGCAAAGTCTTTCACCCACAAGTTCAGAATGTGGTATTGACCCATATCTGTAGCATTTGATGATAGTTCAGTACCATATGTGAAACAGATTGTGCTGTTAGGAAAAGAGTTTTTGTTCATCCACATCATGTGAGCTGACAAGACTATGGTTGTTTATAGATGACTACTTAAGAGAGGAGTGAATTTATGGATACAGTTCTGTCCTTTCCACTTTCAATATTCCCAATTGGTTTTCATTGCTAAGAAACATACCACAGTTCATCTCTCCTCCCATAGGTACTTTTTCAGTTAATATTCTCTTCTCTGTTCTCCATTTTCATTATTCTACTTTCATTTTCCTGATGATTTCCTGACAGTTTTAGTCGCACTGCATGTTACTATTTTGTCCAGAGAGGCAGTGATTACAAAGCAGGGCAGGAACAATCCACTTGGAATAGCACACCGGACATAGTCTAGTCCTTACTTAGCACACTGTACCATGGGGTTGACAAGTGAATTAAATAATGCCCAATGAAGAGTCGAGAAACTCAGCTTGAAAGAAGAAGTTTTTTAAATTTCAGAAGATGTCAAATTCACCCTGTAGCATAGGTCTCTCTTCAGTGAAACTATACCTAATCAGCTTATGCCGGTGAATATAGTGTGGTAAAGCAATGCTTAGGACCTTGTGAATCTCTACAAAGAAGCGTGAAAACCAACTGTGTTTAAAATGCTCAGCAATAAGCAAATTATGCCCTCTCAGAAATCTCTTCACCAAGTTTCTTCCTGTAGAGACAAATAGAGTTTGTTCTCATTTCCTATTTATCATGACTAACCACCTCTCTCTATGCTCAGCTGTTCTTTTTATTCTCATTCTTTGTGCTTTGCTGTCCTGAAGCCAAATCTGTATGGATTTCAATGGCTCTCTTGTCCTTTTTGACTTGGTACTGGGCAGTTCGATAGCATAAGAGATGATTCTCTAAATCCTAGATAGGATGCCAGAATTCTCTAACTGAAAGAATTAAGAAGAAATAACAGTTCAGCTGAATGGATGCAAGGTGTATATGGGGAAGTGTAAAACCTCTGAGACTTTCTCTTCTGGTTTCCTTTCTGTAGCTCCATCAAATCTCAGTCTTTCACTGCAGGAAACTTTCTGGGTATGGAGACTGGAGGAGACAGATCAAAAAGACTCAGATTTTCAATGCTGTGCTCAGCTAATCTTCATTTTAGATGTAGAAATAAAAGCAAAGGACAGTACTGTTTCTTGAAAGGAGCAAAAAGATGATGTGTGCTCCTTCTGAGAAGCCTGTATTTTTCTGCTAATGATTGCATCCAGTAAGTTCTTTAGTAGCCTCACTCCTGGCAAAGTCCTTGAAACTTTCAGTTCCCTCTTTGCTATGAGTGCAATACCAGCTACATCCCCGTCTTCAGTCAGAGTAGTCCAGATGCATTCTGAGACTCAGAGCCTGATAAGGTGCCACCTTTCCCCAGGGCTTAAATTTGCTGTAGTAAAAATGATACAATTTTAAATGCACTTTTCTTATTAGAATTTTCCCTCTGTGGATGTTAAAGATCTGTGTGTGTTGCAGTCTAGGTGGTAAGGACTTGAATTCCTCATTGACTCCTCTCTCTGTCTTTGTTTCAGAGTGCCTACCAGGGTGCGTGCAGAAGGATGGCTGCGGCAGAACCTCTGACCGCCTTCTCCCGATGGTACCTCTATGCCATTCATGGCTATTTCTGTGAGGTCATGTTCACAGCTGCCTGGGAGTTTGTGGTCAACTTCAACTGGAAGTTCCCAGGTGTTACCAGTGTGTGGGCACTCTTCATCTATGGCACCTCCATCCTCATTGTGGAGAAGATGTATCTGTATCTCAAAGACAAGTGTCACATTTTAGTGCGCTGCTTTATTTACACCCTCTGGACGTATCTCTGGGAGTTCACCACTGGCCTCATCCTACGCCAGTTCAATGCCTGCCCATGGGACTATTCCCAGTTTGATTTTGACTTCATGGGCCTGATCACCCTGGAGTATGCCATCCCATGGTTTTGTGCTTCTTTCATCATGGAACAGCTGGTGATCAGGAACACCCTGCGCTTGAGATTTGATGAGACTGCTGAGCCAGGGGCTCCTACTGTTCCCGTTGCCTTGGCCAATGGCCATGTGAAGACGGATTGAACCATGACTTGGAGCCACCCTTAGCAATCTGAGAGAGCCCAGACCTCTACTACAGGCTGTTAGCTCTGGCTTTGAGGTACTGCTCCTTGCTGTATGATAAGATTCATAAACCCCATTTTTCTAATGGGGGTGTGCATGGGATATACAAAAATGGAACCAATAGATTTTCTAAGGATTTTACTCTTTGGGTTCCAAGGACCAATATCAGTTACTTGTTAGTTAGGCCGTTTCTGATTTTAACTTATTACAGATGAAAGCAGTCCTTTTGCTTACACTTTTGTGTGGAGAAAGAAGGAGGGAAAAAATGCTAAGGTGGAAAGCATTCAAAAAGGAAAAATATAATCATTGGAGGATGGTCATGGACACGCCAGCAAAGTCAGCGATCGGCTTACTCCATTAGGCAATATTCAGGTGCTTGCTTGCAACCAATACCTCCTGTGGGACCTGAAATGCTGCAGGAACAAGGAAAATCTGTCTGCTATGGAGAAGAACCTAAGGCTGGCAGTCTGCTGGAGAGGTAGATGGTGTTCCCCTCATGAGGTCCCACTGGCCAACCCTGAGGTTCTTTTTTCGCACCACAATATAATCTGGTGCTGGACATCTTGCTGAATTTATACAAATCTTGTACTTTTTGAAATCTCAGTCCTGATAATAGATTTTTTTCTCTTTTTTTCTTTCTTTCTGTTGTTTTTTTTTTTGTTGTTGTTGTTTGTTCGTTTGTTTTAAGGAAAAGCCTTTTTTGCTGAGTGAATTTTACCATAATCTGTGCAATCTGAGTCTTGGCAAAAGGCACAATAAATATGTAAGTCTTCCCATCTCCTTTGTCCCCCCAAAGCAGAACTTGTCTGAAGGGCTGCTGCAGATTCCAGCTCTCATCCCAACCATGCAAACTTTGTAGAGACTGCACATGCCACAAGAGTCTTCTGCCTTCTTTCCCAGGGTTCCCTCTGTTTCTGGTGATGTTGATGACTTAATCTGGCTGCAACTCATTGTACTTGACCAAAGGTCAAAATTTTCGTGTGGCTGAAGTGGTACCCAGCATTCAGTCCTCTAGGTCACCCTCCATCAGCACTGGCAGCCCAGTGGTCTCCTCAGTGTTTCAAGAGGATTTGCTCTTCCTTCCCAAATTCTATTCTAAATAACCACAGCAAACCTTTCCCATGAGAATAAGTGTAGGCAGCAGGAGATATACCATGCTGTCTGATATAGGGAGACACATTACTTCCAAAACCAAACACAATTCTCCCTGAAGAGCTCTTCTTCACAGTTTGAGCAAGGTTTTGAGTTCTAGTTTGAGAGAAGCAGTAGAGAGCTTTAGGGAGTGCTGTGGCTCCATTTTGGAGCTTCTTGCATGGGGGTAGTTTGAAATTTAACCTCTTGGGAACACTTGTGGAGTCTGGGAAAAGTTATAGAACAGGAAAGGTGCCTGATAGTGGCAACCATAGGTTAAATGATATGTTTTGGTAAACCTTGGCTGTCAGGGTTAGCCATAAAAGTAGAATTTCCTGTTGTCAGAAATATTGTGCTCATGACAGCTTTACCAGGCAGGTTTGTCTCATAGGACAGATTAATTTTGAGTGTTCCTATACTGTAATCAGCAGAGCTGCAGCAGGGATGAATTTGGCTTGAAACACACGTGTTTGTGTGGTTGTGGGTTTCCACTCTTGCATTGTAAGTAGCCAGGTTATTTTTCTGCTGCTCCTCTGTCTGAGGTAGAGCTCAGCTGTGAACCTGCTCCTTGTGCTGGGGAATCCACTCCCAAGGGAAGAAGCACTTCAAGCCTTGTGAAGGAAATTATTGTCTGGTTCTGCCCTTAGAAAGCCAGTGTTAATCCTTTCTGTGTTGCACAGAGTGCAATTATTTTATTCCTCTCCTTTCCCCTTCTCACATGACATCCATTGCTGGCAATGGACACAAATCAATGGTGTCAAGATGTTAATCACATCTGCCCGAGGGTACACAGTGTCTCTCAAAGCACTCTGAATGTTTAGGTGGGTATTTAGGGTTTCCTTTTTATAGATCATTAAATTAAAAGAGAGCAAACACTGAGTAGATGTATTTACTTTTTCCTTGCTGTGATGCCAGTATTATAAAACCAGAGAAGCAGTATGTTGTTTGTCAGTCCTGATGGTCTCATATGTGCAGACCCAGGCAAAACAGTCACCTCATGTAGTGCAGGGGGGCAAAAAGAGATGAGCTCTGCTGAATTAGAACAAGAACTGCAAGGTGGAGATAAGAGCTCATCCCATATTTGGAGGCATTCGAGGCCAGGCTAGATGGGCCCTGGGCAGCCCCATATGGTGGGTGGCAGCCCTGCCCATGGCAGGGTGTAGGAATTAGATGATCTATAAGGTCCCTTCCAACCTAAGCCATTCTATGATTCTGTGATGTCCCCGCTTTGGCCCTAGTTCTGTCAGGGTCATGCAGTACCCAGAGCCAGGCTGTTCTCTCACAGCACAGCATGGCTGTGGTGTGATGCTGTCTCTTATCTCCCACACCATCTGAAACCCTCAGTTTCATAGAAGCATTCCTAGGATCTTTGCTTTCTTCTTAGCTGCTACAAAACTCTTAAAAGTGTTAAAAGGAGCTAGCAGCATCATTTGGTGACTTCATACCAGCTGCAGGTGGGACTAAGGGAGGAAGAGTTCACAGAGTTAACTTGGTATGCAGCCATGTGTTGTGACTGCAGAAGCTTCCACCAAATGGCACAGTTCATGCACAATGATGTAATATTTAGGTGCTCAGGCTATGGAGGGGTTTCCCAGCAGCATACGATATCTCATTCTATTATCCCTATTGCCCATGCTATTGTAACCACTACTCTGGTTTGCTTTCCAGCGATGTCTGATGTGTACCACCTAGATATTGTGTCCTTAGAGACCTGTAACTTAAACCCAGAAGTGCACTTTACTTGCAGTTTGCACACCAGAAACAGGAAGGGACCCAACAAATTATTAAATAATTTCAAATAATTCCCTGGACAACAAATGTTATCGCAGGGTATGCTTTAATACCATGTACCTAACACAGCAGGGTTAGCTAGACTTCTTGCTAAGCAATGTGGCTTTGTCTCTTCTGCAAAATCTCTCTTTTTAATACATGTGATGCTTCTTACAACATCTTACAGGAGAAGTGCCCAGAGCACATTACCGGGGACTTGGTGGCAGCTCAGCATGAGCTCAGGAGCTGGACTGAAGTGATAGAGACACTTACATTATGAAGGAAAGAAAAAAAAAAACAAAAAAAACCAACAACGCACAAGGCCTAACCATTTGTTTGTATGTGTATCTTCCTTGGTAGATTAAAGTTGCCTGTTTTGAGTTCACCAGCAATAAAAAAACTTGTGATTTATCCACCTCGTCCTAACTCTGCAGCAAGAAGAGAGAGAGGGGCCCTATGCTGCTTTTTGAGGAGGGTGGGGAATGGGAGTGGTGGGTTTTGGGCTCCAAGTACCCCGGGGTTCTACTTTTGACTCCCTTGTATTGCTTATCCCTCATTCTGTCCATCCTAAGGGGTGCACATGTACATGGTAAAATACAGTTCTGCATCCTCGGCACACGGACCAGTTCAAGCACTGTTGTGATGATGTCTGTGCACATTGCAGTGATCTTGCCAGAGGGAAACAGTTGTTTCAAAGCAGGACTAGACCACATTTTGATCTTGGCATTCTAATTGAGAGAAATGTGTACATATGTACCAGGTATAATTATGCCTTTGGTCTGAGTGCATTTTCTAATTAAAGCAGAATAATCGAATCGACCTTTTGCTTGACTAGTCCTGTGACTAAAGAAGGTAAAAAATGGCTGAAGGACTCAAGCTTCTGAAGAATTGGGAAGCTGGTGGCAGAAGTTCTCCTGCGGTCAGTAGTGTTGCTCTGCTACTGACTTTTTGTAAGCTGCACCGAAAGAAGGGGGATTTCTTCATTCACAGGAATGCCTTCCCTTTCACTACTGTGAATAAAAAATGAACCACCACCAAGATGTGAACTGAAAGCAAACAGATTTCTGTTTTATTTTTTGCTGGGCCTGAATATGTGCACTATACCCTGAATTCAGGGGGACCTGCACTTTTTGCTTCAGGCTTTTTGCTTGCAAACTGCAGCTGAACCACCAGACAAGGAAACTGCTCTCTTCCGCTTCCTTCCTGTGTGTCTGCAGCTACCGCCTCCCCCTGTAGAAGGCAATTCTTCCCTGGTGCATCCCTACTCAGTCAGAAGTCATTCCCACTGTGACACCTCACCCAGCTGCTTTGGCACCCACTGCACAAGTAGACTCACGGAGCTGGGGAGACATGAGGAGTGGTGGCAAATGGCCACCTCTCATGCCTGCCTTTCCTCACACCCCTAATGTGTCTGCTCGTAGCCCCAGACATCTGACACCAGTGCTGGAGGAAGAAGTGCTGTCTGGAAGTAAGTCCAAGGGAGGCATGGGTTTGTTGGTGTCCAACCCACCACTTCTTTAAAGACAAAGCTGCCCTTGCACAATGAGTTCTTTACTATAGGTGGCAATGCAGAAGTTGTCCGCTCACCCGGTGTATACTGCCCAAACCTTCTCTGAGAAGGAAAGGAGGTTCAAAACCTCATCTTTTTTTTTTCTCTAGGAGATTCTCTGCCTGCAGCTCTAGAGAAAAATAGCGATATGTGAGCTGTTGCTCCTTCAACTCACGGAGATACTGAAATGCCCCCAGCTCTGTGCCCTATCTTGGTAAGGTAGCCATGCTGAGACATAGGACAATTCAGCCCTCAGGGTGCTGCCACGTGGCACTCTCAGCATCTGGATTAGCCTATGGCCCAATTCAGGAATGCATTTTGCTGTATAAGTTGTACTCTTAATTCCATGGGTTCCGAAATGCTTTTCATGGGAAAGCAGGAGGTTAAAAGAGAAAGACTGAGATACAATACAACTTCATTACCATTTTTGATCTCACTTGAAAGCATTTTGTTTAAAGTTCCAGATACTTACTTCAGCCTCTAGATACCACATGTGGAAAGGTGTTTGTCAAGGCCATGGAAGATATCACTAGTACCACTTAATGCAGGTGTGCTGTGCATGGTGTGCTGCACTGGCTCAGCGCTGCCAGGGAGAGCTACCAGTGCACGAGGACTACGACCAGAACTGCTGATATAAGCGCTGGGTAATGGCAGCC